ACGAACAGACCGGTACGAAGGAAGAGCCATTGGGTTTCAATTTGGATATTGAACAGCAAGCTAACATCCTCACCTAGAAAGGCGTCTTGCTCCCTCAGTCCGTCCTGACGGCGCAGTCCAAGTCCCTCATCGAGGCGTGGAACTACACCCCGGCAGACCACCTCCTGCACGTCTTGCCCCTCCACCACATCCACGGCACCGTCAACGCCGTCCTCACGCCCCTCCTCGCCGGCTCCACGATCGAGTTCATGTTCCCCTTCAACGTCGATGCCGTCTGGAAGCGCCTCGCCGCGCCCTTCATAACCTCAAACGGCACAAACTGGACCAATGGCACCAATGGCACAAACGGCGTCAACGGAACCCACGCACCACCCCCCAAGGAGAAAATCACCTTCTTCACCGTCGTGCCAACAGTCTACTCCCGCCTCCTCGCCACCCACAAGGCCCTCCCCCTCGACCCCGAAGAGCCCACCCGCGAGGCCGTTTCCCCGAAACACATGCGCCTCGCCATCTCCGGCTCCGCGGCCCTGCCGACCCCGATCAAGGAGGCCTGGAAGACCCTCAGCAAGGGTAACGTCCTCCTCGAGCGCTACGGCATGACCGAGGTGGGCATGGCCCTCAGCTGCGGCCTCGACTTCGCCGACCGCGTCGACGGCAGCGTCGGCTGGCCCCTGCCCGGCGTCGAGGCCCGCCTCGTCGACATGGACACCGGCGCCGTCATCCCCCCGGGCGAGGACGTCGACCCCGCCACCGGCCGCGAGCGCTCCGGCGAGATCCAGCTCCGCGGCCCCACAATCTTCAGAGAGTACTGGCGCAACCCCGAGGCCACCGCCAAGGAGTTCGTCGAGGGCGAGGACGGCCGCGGCAAGTGGTTCAAGACGGGCGACGTGGCTGTGCGCCGCCGCGTCGACGGCGCCGGCCTCAACGCCGCGCAGGCCTCGTGGGCCAAGGGCGACATGTACTTCATCCAGGGCCGCAAGAGCGCCGACATCATCAAGACGGGCGGTGAAAAGGTCAGCGCCCTCGAGGTCGAGCGCGAGCTGCTGTCCCTCCCCGAGGTAGCCGAGGCCGCTGTCGTCGCCGTCCCCTCGGGCAAGTGGGGCAGCAAGGTCGGCGCCGTCGTCATCCTCAATAAGGACGTCGTGCCGCATTGGTCGCCCATGGCCATGCGCAGGGCCCTCCGAGATCGGCTTGTCAACTACAAGATCCCGCAGGTCCTCAAGGTCGTCGACCATATCCCGCGAAACGCCATGGGCAAAATTAACAAGAAGCAACTGGTCCAGGCTGTGTTTGAAGACCAGTTTAGCGGTGATGAAATGTAATAATATTTGCTGTGTGCATATATCCGTAGACAGGTACACACTTGTTTGAATAGGGGAAACATAGACTTGAGATAGAGAAAAGAAGAATGCCACCCTCACACCATCGTCCGAACAATCTGGGACGAATTGTTCCAACAGGGCTCATGTCGAATGGTCCGGTGATTCTCCCGACCTCGTCATTGATTATGCTCCCTCTCAGCTGGTATAACTTGCATGCTGTCACTCAAGGTGGAAGTAGGACGTCCGACGCAATGTCCGTAAGTCTAAGCGCCTCACAAAGGGGACATGGCGACTGGCCTAAAACCTAGGTATCTATTCCGATTCGCGTCCGCCTATGTACTATCGATCGTGGCCCTCTAGAAGTAAAGCCATTTTTGTTTTCTCAGCAACGCCTTCATCGGGGCTCCCAAGACTATCATAAGAAAACCTTTTCCGTCCCTGAAATGCGTTATCATTGATGCATAGCAACGCCCGATACCTGGTGTTCCCCACCAGCATCAGACACAAAAGGTTGGCTTAAGAAATGCGAGGAGTGATATCATGTAGACGCATTTGGCCTCTTCTCGAAGGAGGAGGAAGCCAACAAGTCCGGTAAAATGCAGGGTAAAGTCGTGTGTCGTGTTGTTCGAATTCGTGTCCGTCTAGACAGTGTGCTTGGCCTTGGCACGGCTGCTTCCGCTGTGTGCGCTGTCCGTGTGGCCAGAGAACTCAACGCTCTCACCGGGGGGCAGGTTCAAGATCTCCTTGAAACGGCGGCCGATGTTCAGAAGGATCTCACGGCCCTTATCCTGGGAACGTCCCTTACCACCAGCCACATCTCCATCACCACGGCCGGGAATGCTCTTGCCAATAGTACGAGTCCAGACACCGATACGGAAGAAAGCCTTGCGCACGTTGACAACAACACCCATGACTTCGCCGTCGTCCTCACCCTCCAGAGTCTCGCCAATGGCAGCCAGCATCACGTGCAGCCAGAGGTCATCGATAGGAACAGCACGCTTCTCCTTGAACTGGTAGGACCACTTGCCACCGTGCTTGTTCTGGGCGTCCTCCCACTCAGGGCGGACACCAGCCTTGAAAAGGTGGTAGTCGGACTTGAGGGCCAGCTCGGAGACGGGAGCGATGTTGTTCTGTCATTACGTTGTCAGTGGGGGGCGGGGTCGTGAAGGATAGGGAAGCAGATTGCACGTACATAGACACCCCAGAATTCTTCCACTGAGTTAAAGGTGATAACTTCCTTCAGGAGGTCATTCCAGTTGTCACCCTGTTTCCAAAGTTAGGCGGTGAAACTTGTCGATATTTGCAACGAGAAGGTACGAACCTTGCCACTGGGGGGCTTGGTGAACCAGAGAGTCCATTTGTTCTGAAGTGGGTGCTTAACGTTGAAGTTGTCCTTGTCGTGGAAGACAGTGATGTCCTTGTCGGTATCGTTCTCCTTGGTTTCGGTGCTCTTCTCGGCGCCCTCGGGGGAGATGGGGATGGTCGAGAGGTCGACCTGCTGGTCGGGGTTTGTGGGCGTTTGCACGGAGGTCGCCATTGTGAAGATGTGTTGATGTTGTTGAGGTTGTGACAGCTGGGTATCACTCGGACGGGCGAGTATGTGTGCGAAGATGTCGACGGAGGTTGACGACGCGAGAGGAGAGGGGCGAGGTCGACGAGGGTATTTCGACTCGAGGAGGAAAGTGGGAGGGTTCCGCTCGTGAGGACGGTTTGCTCGCTGTTGGGAAGGTACCGTGGGGGTTCACAGCTGACTACTTCCAAGTATGCGGGGGTTCCGACGTTGCGCCAGGCACGTCAGCGGATATCGGCAGGCTCGGTGAGTGATTAAGGTGAGAAACGGAAGGTGACGTTCTCGTGGACGAGGAAGTTGCGATGAGGTTTTGCGAAGGATTGCGCTCAGCAGTCACGGTTCGATCAGTGTGGTGCTTTCAGTCGCAAAAAAATGCCCAAGCGGGCGGGCCAACCGAATGGAAGAATAAAAAGTGGGGTTTGGACCTCTGACGGGAAGTCGGGCGTGGTACCTATTCGGACAGAGTACTCGCTCTTGAGCCTGTTAGCCTGCCCTGCCTGCCGTACGTCGGAGTGAAGCAGTTTCCCACGGCCAGGCAAGGTGCCCAAGTACCTCACTTACCTACCTACATACCCAGGTCCCGCCCACCTGCCACCACCATAGCCCACAGCTCGCCAAAGGCTTCGCTCATTCCGTCAGACTCACCACTACACCGCGGGGCCTTCCCACACAGTCGGTGGGTTGTTAGGGCGATGCGCAATGGACCTCCTCGCCAGTCACCACTCACCACACGACACAGTTTCTTAGCGGGCAAGGTTGTCATCCGACAGGCGAGGCCATTGGAGCAAGATGCATCCACTGGGCTGCTTAAACTTCCGTAAACCTGGTCTTGACTGGGACCAGACCTTGGGCCGTCTTCCAGGTCGTCACGTCTGTCAGGGCGGTGCTGCCCAGGAGAGACTTGGAATTCAAAGTTTGATGCCATCCAATCCGTGTCTCTTTGTCTGGCTTAAGCCCTGCAGTGCTCAACGCTCGCCTCTCTTTGGCCAACGCCTACCACCAATGCAAAATTATCATTACTCAGGTTGTACAGAAAGGATACAATCAGCATTCAGAGAGGGAGCACAGCCAGGTATCTTGTCTTGTTGATTTGTTTGCCAGCTACATGGCCCCTTGCAACCTTCTCAACGGCGACTTTGCCAGAACCGACTCATTTTCAGCCCCTTCTCCTGCCCCTTCCTACGCTCAAGGACGCACCCCTGTTTCGAGATTTATTTTTCGTCTTCGGGGTGCGAGCGTCGTCTTTCTTGGCTTCGGGCTGCACCGAACTTTTCCAGAAGCTTTTTCCTGGCTCCAAAGTAACCTAGGTGATCCATCCATGCACTTTACTCGACCTGAGTCAATCCGCACTTTCAGCTTTTTGCTTGCAATACACCTTGAGTTCACTTGGTTATTCCTCATTCTTAGCCTGGCTAGAGACTTTCTCCTGCTGCCTCCTGCAGAACATCGCCCATTGCGTGGAGAAGCCGACGGAGACAACGGCTGAAACACGAAGGGTACTCCCGTCGAAACAAGCCTCAGGGGATTTGCCCCAGGTCAACATCGGCTCATGTTGCCATCTCGGGCAAGGACGTAGTTCGTCGAATGATATTGAGAGCCCACCCTTACTGCCCTGAAAAGAACAAATCAGGGCAAACTTTTTTCTTCTTCCGCTTCCGTTCGTGTTCTGTGGCTGAAGAATGCAGGGCGGCGAGAAACATGGCCGTCTTTGTTGATGACATTTCTTTGGCCATTTTTCGGCGGCTTCTTGCTACTTGACCAAGAGATCATCGTGCTTCCCATCTCAACGCGGTCGATATAGCGAGGAGGATTGTCTTCAAGCAGGGCACAAAGATGTCGTCTGCCTTTTGTGCATTCAAAGAGAACTGACTGTTCAAAAAAAAACATTGCTCTCGTGATGAAGCCCGTCATTAAGGAGATCGAGAACAATGAATAGGAATGGGTTGCTGGATTTATTGCCTACCCTTCTTAAGTTCGTGCTCGCGCCCAAAGCAAATATGCAAAACAGTATCACGATCAACATCTACACTCAAGTCTAACAGCCCGTCAGTTTTGCTGTCAAAATCTTTTTGAGTTATACGTCAGAACTCGTTAGTTGCGCTTGTGTCATGTCTTCCTCATACTCACAAGGAAGCAAGAATGCTTCAAAACAAACAGGGAACAATAGCGGCCAGCATATACCGCCTATGGTCCCTTTGCCTCGGAGGCAGGATTTAAACCTGGACGACCTGCGCGGTTTTGAGCCCGGACGCCTCGACTTGCGATGGATCACACCATCCCAGAGACTAGACGACCAATTCTTCACGGAACACTATGCTTCTGTTGCCTCCAATATCAAGTATCTAGTCAAAAATCTCTTCAGGTGCGGAGATCTTCCTCCAGATGGTTCCGTCTGGGCTGCAACCCGCAAATATCATGGCGAAAAGTTCCATCTTGAGCGTATCGTCGGCATGGTCGCTCGGCCAGACCCAATGGACCCAACTCCGTGGGAGGACCTCATGACAAGCAAGGCTAAACGGTTCTGCGTGATGCGGGCCGTCATCATGCTAGTCCTTGAAGAGCAGGTGTTCTCGGAGCTTCTTTTCGGGGCGACCAAGAAACAGTCCGAGCAGCTTCATGCCCAGGACTCTGACTATTGTCACGATGGAGGTGAGCCAAGTTGACGGATTATTGAACTGAACAGAATCGCTAATGAAGTCACTTGTAGGCATACGGCGCTCAAGGCTCAGATCAACACTTGTGGAGATGATGCTCGGCCACTCTCACGGCATGCCGCAATGTTTTTGGCCGAGTGTTGACAAGGTAGCCATGAGGCTGTTAACGCTCATCTTCCCAGTACTGAACTGGGTCAGACGAACATGGCCACCCGACCAGGACATGCCCGACATCAAAACGATCTACCAGGAGATACACAACTGTCTGGCGTATGCCTGTTGGTTCGCAGTGCACAAGCAGCGCGCTTCTTCCGTGCTCGAATTCACATGGCTTCACCCGGGCGACCAGTACTGTCCTGACCAGATCGAACTGTGTCCAGCAGGGCTCCAACGCGCTCTTGCGGCCTCCGCAGACGCCTCCTCAGCCTTGGGATCAAATACTCAAAACGCATCGCCAGCTAGGATTGCGAGGGTAATGATATGCGTCGTCCCTCGTCTGGACATTATCAAGTCAGTTGAGTGCGACGGAGAGGCGGTTGGCCATACCATCACTACGCTTGCGGACACTCGTGTGGTCTACTATCTCGGGTTGATGGATCCGGACGCCGACGACGAGGTATTCAAATGGTCTCTGATGGAGTACTCCATGACTCTGCAACCGAAGACATCCCTTGCTAAACGTCTTCGCGCAGGCCCTCTTGCTTTCCGGCGTTTCCTCAATGAGTTAGTGATGCGCATCCTAGCAGCTTTATGGCTCTTGGGGATACTATTTGTGATACATAAATTCGTTGCACGGGTTTGGCAAAAATACGACTTGATTACTTCTCAACAATTGACTGCTCTATGGCGGCAGTTTGGGATACCAGAAAGGAAAACAACAACGGCAACGATTTGATTTTTACGGTTTATCAGATTGATGGCGTTTGGGTTGCTTGCTCGGAGTTAGCTGGGTTAGACTTCATTCATTCATTTGTTCCCATGCATCGAACATGCCACCCGTCCAAATCGTTCGCATTGCCTACCGTAGCACGGTTACTACATCTCAGCTGTGATAGACAGCAATGGAATACACGTTACTTAATGCTCTAAAAGATTTTACACTCCAGCACTACTATTAGTTCTTATTAGAATAAGGTTTGCAATCTTGACCACTGCTGTTTCAAGTGACACGTAAAAAACAAAACCACCGGAACTGCTTGAGGTCATCATCCATCATCTACAGATGTACAACTCCGGTGAGCTTTAGGGGAGGGAGCAAAAGCAAAAGTTGCGCCGAGGGGGAATCGAACCCCCGGCTCCCCGACGCTGCTTGATGGCAACGGAGAATTTTACCACTAAACCATCGGCGCTGATGGTTGACTATATCGTCAAGTGACAGGAAACGAGCGACAAGTCGTTTATGTTGCAGAGCGGTGAGTGAAGTTGTGGGCGTGATGGTGGGGGATAAGGGCTTCATGGTTGGGCTGTGTTCCCTAGACAACTATCGGCAAACCTCGTCCAAGCGCTTGCGAATCCACCAGTTCCCCTCTCAAGCACAAGGGCCGCACAGATTTGAGATTCCCGTGGTCAGATTAGCCTATCAATGCGCATCAAATGGTTCTCGAAGCCCACTTTCAGCCAACGTCAACGGAATGTCGTGAGGGGAGTCGGGGAGCGCTGAACGTTCGTCTGAACAGCGAGGGCAACGCAGGAGAGCCAATCGTTTAGCGGATATTGACAAGTATGGCAGGACCCTTTAAAAGACGCCTGAGGGGAACGAGAGGCTCCATGTTACCTAAGTCTACTATGGCTGCCACGTGCAGACGGATACGTAGGACATAGGCACATCACACAGGGCCGGGCAGCAAGAGAGAGGGGTCGCTGCGGGCGAGGTCCGACTGTCGGGATGCCCGACATGCGCATGACGGGCTTCAGGTTGCAGACTCGGGACAAAATAGGAGTTGAGACCGGTTTGCCGCTGGGAGGGAGGGCTCTCCTGTTGTGTTGCCACAGGAGGCCAGAAGTCCACTGCCAGGCATCTGGGTTGCTTGCTCAAGCCGAGTCAGGCGGTGAGCAAAGCAATGTCGGGGCCGAGAGTTGGGCGACGGCAAGAGAGGGATGATGGCAAAATGAGAGGACGACTCGTAGGCAGTCGGATTGTCACGGTATCAGACGGAGACTCACCCGGAAGTCACTGATGTAAGGTCCTGATAGAGGAGAGACTCTCTCGCGACCTGCCTGGGTACAGACATTTGACCGTTGCCGGGCAGTCACAGCACCAATGACCGTTTTAGCAAACGAGTATCTGGAGGTAACCTGGCCAATTCAAACGATGGCAATCCCAGCCACCACCTCATTGAATAGCCGCCGTGCGCCTCCCTCTCCTACACATTGAAGTCCAATTCAATGGCAGCTGAGGGCGAAGCGAGGGGAAAGGAAGAAAAAACCAAGGTGGACAGGGGTCCGATAAGATAAGCCCACCAAGCCAGGCGGGAAAAAGGGCAAAAATTCCTCGCCGCCCTCGAAATTTGTGGCATTGCGCTAGGCCGGTCTCACGCTAGAGGGGGGGTTGGTGGGGCCCCGGCCCAGAAAAAAAAAGTCGAAATTTATTTTTTGCCGGCCTTGACAAAATCTCTGTTCGGTTGTGTTGAGTGCGAGAGAGAAATTCTTTTGAAAGGACCCCACGTCGCCCGCCCGCCCTCTTTCACATATCTTCCTCCTCCACGCAATCCTCCAACCTTACCTTCCCTCCTCCACCCCTCACACAGGTCGACTTTGTCTTGTGCAATATCCCAAATTCTTCAAAATGGCGGACGAGGTCTACGATGGTGCCATTGGCATCGACTTGGGTAAGTTGCGCAACCCCTCCCCATCGTTATGATGCCCTTCTTGTCGGCCCTCTTTGCGGGGTGAGGAAATATCACCGATCATCGCCACCACAAACCACCACACATCAGCCAAAAAATCCCATCACCACTCAGCGCCCAACGGCAAACACCATCTACACATCGCAGAGACCAGAAAGGCTAACATTGTGTCTTCCTCATTAAAGGAACCACCTACTCCTGCGTTGCGACGTACGAGGGTACCAATGTCGAGATCATTGCCAACGAGCAGGGTTCTTTCACCACCCCTTCTTTCGTCTCCTTCACCGACAAGGAGCGTCTGATCGGTGAGGCTGCCAAGAACCAGGCTGCTATGAACCCCATCAACACCGTCTTCGATGTCAAGTGAGTAGCCGCGCCTGTCTCTTTGGCTGCTCTGATGCCTCTCTCTGGGCCTACGGGAATTTTCCCCGCCCAAGGAGGGGTAAAACAAAAGGAGCCGAAAAAATTTCCATCACCAAACACTTTGCTGACTAGCCGTTTCTTCACAGGCGTCTTATCGGTCGCCGCTTCGATGACCCCACCGTCAAGAAGGACATGGAGTCCTGGCCCTTCAAGGTCGTCGACGACAACGGCAGCCCCAAGGTTTCCGTCGACTACCTCGGCGAGACCAAGACCTTCTCTCCCCAGGAGATCTCCTCCATGGTTCTCCTCAAGGTACGTTTCTTCTGCTGCTTGGCTTGTACGCCGGGCGCCAAGTTTGTGCGACGCAACATGTTGACACCCCAAACAGATGAAGGAGATCGCCGAGACCAAGATCGGCAAGAAGGTCGAGAAGGCCGTTATTACCGTTCCTGCCTACTTCAACGACAACCAGCGTCAGGCTACCAAGGACGCCGGTGCCATTGCTGGCCTGAACGTCCTCCGTATCATCAACGAGCCCACTGCTGCCGCCATTGCCTACGGTCTTGGTGCTGGCAAGTCCGGCAAGGAGCGCAACGTCCTCATCTACGACTTGGGTGGTGGTACTTTCGATGTCTCCCTCCTGAACATCCAGGGCGGTGTCTTCACTGTCAAGGCTACCGCTGGTGACACCCACTTGGGTGGCCAGGACTTCGACACCAACCTGCTCGAGCACTGCAAGAAGGACTTCCAGCGCAAGACCAAGAAGGACCTCTCCGGCGACGCCCGTGCCCTCCGTCGTCTCCGTACTGCTTGCGAGCGTGCCAAGCGTACCCTTTCTTCCGGTGCCCAGACCACCATCGAGATTGACTCTCTCTTCGATGGCGAGGACTTCACCACCCAGATCACCCGTGCTCGTTTCGAGGAGCTGAACGCCAAGGCCTTCAACGGCACCATTGAGCCTGTCGCCCAGGTTCTCAAGGATGCTGCCATCGAGAAGTCCGGCGTTGACGAGATCGTCCTCGTTGGTGGCTCTACCCGTATTCCCCGTATCCAGAAGCTTCTGTCCGAGTTCTTCGACGGCAAGAAGCTCGAGAAGAGCATCAACCCCGACGAGGCCGTTGCCTACGGTGCCGCCGTCCAGGCCGGTATCCTCTCCGGCAAGGCCACCTCCGCCGAGACCGCCGACCTTCTCCTCCTCGACGTCGTTCCCCTGTCCCTCGGTGTCGCCATGGAGGGCAACATCTTCGCCCCCGTCGTTCCCCGCGGTAACACTGTGCCAACCATCAAAAAGATCAGTCGTCCCGTTCTCTGTCATCTTGAATCTGACTAACATCCACACACAGGACCTTCACCACTGTTGCCGACAACCAGCAGACCGTTCAGTTCCCCGTTTACCAGGGTGAGCGTGTCAACTGCGAGGACAACACCTCCCTGGGTGAATTCACCCTTGCTCCTATCCCTCCCATGAGGGCTGGTGAGGCCGTCCTTGAGGTTGTCTTCGAGGTCGACGTCAACGGTATCCTCAAGGTCACCGCCACTGAGAAGACCTCCGGCCGCAGCGCCAACATCACCATCTCCAACTCTGTTGGCAAGCTCTCTTCCCACGAGATTGAGAACATGATCAACGGTATGTGCAGCTTCCAGTCACAGTATTGAATGACGTTGCTAATGAATATCAGACGCCGAGAAGTTCAAGACCAACGACGAGGCCTTCAGCAAGCGCTTCGAGGCCAAGCAGCAGCTTGAGTCTTACATTGGCCGTGTTGAGGAGATCATCTCCGACCCCACTCTGTCCCTCAAGCTCAAGCGTGGCCAGAAGGACAAGATCGAGCAGCAGGTCTCCGAGGCCATGGCTGCCCTTGAGATCACCGACTCCGCCGCCGAGGACCTCAAGAAGCAGGAGCTCGCCCTCAAGCGTCTCGTGACCAAGGCCATGTCTTCCCGCTAAAGGGTTTTAAATGAAAACTAAAAATGGCCTTCGGGCCTGGCGAAGGGTTGCTTATCTGGTTCAACTTTCTTGCGTTTGGGTGGCCCAACAGAATCAGGCCAGGATGCGAATAATTTGGGTCAGGTGATATCAAAAGGCACTTAAAAGTTCCTCTTTCTTCCAGCCGCCTTCCTCCCTCTTATACCTCCACACCATCTCTCACACACTCACGACACATGGCATGCCTCTCGGGAGAGAGGGAATGCTTTCCGGGTGCCGTCTTCTACGGCTTTCATAGACACTGTAGAAAGGATCAGGGCGACATGAAATGAAATTACGTCTACGTTACTTTTAAGTCTTCATTTTCGCGTGACATGTTTTTGAGAGTGATGTCGTTACTGTTGGTCTTACCGTCGTCGTTGTCGTCGTCGTCGTCGTCGTTCCCGCTCTCGGGTGGCTCTGATGTGCACTTCATGCCCTTGTAGCAGGTCCGAGTGAGTCGAGAGGAGGTGCAAGCTAGTCTGGGCTGGGATGGAGACGAAGCATGAAGCCCAGAGACGGAGGACAGAGACAGAGGACAGAGACGGAGGACAGAGACAGAGGACAGAGACAGAGGACAGAGACAGAGGACAGAGGACAGAGACAGAGGACAGAGACAGAGGACAGAGACAGAGGACAGAGACAGAGGACAGAGACAGAGGACAGAGGACAGAGACAGAGGACAGAGGACAGAGGACAGAGGACAGAGACAGAGGACAGAGACAGAGGACAGAGACAGAGGACAGAGACAGAGGACAGAGACAGAGGACGGGGACGGAGGACGGGGACAGAGGACGGAGCGAAGGGTTATACATGGAGGATAGAAACAGGAAGTATAATGAAAACGAGGCTTTGGTCAAACCGGCCCCAGTATCTCATAAAAGGAATTTGTTCTTCATTTCTTTAGTGTTCCAGTACTAGTTCCCAAGAAAAAGTAATTGTCACGTAGGATGTTCACACTCATCTTGTCACTGAGGGCGTATATCAAGCTGTCTTCATGATTAGAAACGAGTTCGATTACATTGGCATGGTTGTGAACAGCAAGTCTTACTTAGCTCGCTGTTCTCGAATCTGCGAAACAGAGACGAATATGATGCAGTATCCTTCCCACGTTGCGTGGTTTCCAGATTCATGGCCGGGCCTTGATTGACTTGGAACCCTGAAATCAATTCGGAAACTACAGCATCACAGTCGGGGATTGTTCTCGCCGACCTTGTTCTTAGCTAAACTCGTGCTTGACTACGTTTCTGAACACCTACCAAGCGGTCAAACGAGACATTCCCTGGCTCAGAGCCGACCTGAACCTGATCATCTCAAGTGCAACATCTTCAAAAAGTCACAGGGCATCCTCTCAGCGGTCCAAATACTCAAAAATCAAAACAATTGATCTGGCCCGGACTTGAACCGGAGACCTTTAGTGTGTGAGACTAACGTGATAACCAACTACACCACCAGACCAGTTAAATCATTGTGGAGATCGCGAGGACAAGATTGCCTTGAGGGAGGGGCAAGGCGCATGGGATCGTGGTCGTCAGAGCTCAAGCGTGGGTCGCGGAGTGCTGGCCCGCTTGGTGGGCCGAAGCCGGGCCGGAGTCCGGAAGCCGCAGGTCTACCGGACATGTTGGCGACCGCTTTGATACAGCGTGCAATATTGATTTTGCCAGCCAATTTGTGTCTTGTGCTCCTTTAAAAGTTCTTGGTTACATGGACGAAGTTAGTTGCTAGCAGTGGGAAAAGGTAGGCGGGGAGATACTTTGCTGCCTTTCTTATATATACAGCAACATGTCTTATTCCGAATAGTGGCTCAGTAGTTGAGTCTCGACATTAGTAGCTTTGAGACCGCTTACTACGGGCCCGAAGTTGTATTTGCGTTTTCTTATAAGTAGACCTATAAGGAGAGCAAGTTTCCCTAGCGACATGGGCTTCACCGTGACGTGTCTAAGAGTTTGCGAATCTTGGGGACATTTTCATCTTGGTATGCAATCATGAACAACAAGCTGACTGTTTATTTTCGAATCGGTACTCGATTGCAACCCAAAAGTCTCCGAACGGGTTTGTTGCAGTCGTTCGCTGCTCTAGCCTGCACTAATGCTTAGGTGTTGCTAGGTTTATTTCTAAGCGACGGTCTCGAATGAGAGCAAGGCAGCTAGCTAGAATGAATTGTCAATCTTTGTACTCTCAAAATCTGCCAACCCAGAAAAGGTTTATCATTAGGATAGGTAGGTAGTCTTAGAGATGAAGTTGAAATAAAACTAACAAGGGGAAGGGGCCAGCGCGGAGTAGACTTGCCACTGTGGGGCTCACAGACGTCAATTAGGTAACCCCCCTCCCCCACCCCCTCCATTCTAGCCGTCACTCCTCCATTTTCATTGTCTCTCGACCAACCGATCGCCGGCTCATCACGCCTGAACAGCGGAGAGCTACCAGGAGCAGCCTCTCATCTAACACGACGGTCCATCATACTCCACGCCTCGTACGGGCTGATCCGGCACATGCCCGTCAACCTCCACTGCGATGGCTATCCGCGTTTTTGACAAGTTCTTCGACCTCCCCCAGGAGATCCGTGACCAAATCATATCATACCTTTGCCTCCTCCCGAATCCGATCCAGGTAGGACCGACAATTGACGCAGAGATACCCTTCCCGCACGACCTGCTGCTTTCTCACCCTCTTCTTTACGCCGCCGCCTCCGCCATCTTCTACGAACAGAACCGTTTCATCCTCAACCTCCGCGGCCGGCCCCGCGCGGCTCTCGAGCGCGCAATATGTGACGGCACGCCGTGGCTTCTGGGCAACACTAGAGCCCGACGCCGCGTCAAGTTCCTGGAGCTCTCGCCCGGCCGCCTGGGAAACGTATTCCAGAGCCACATATCCCCAGCCGTGGCGGATATGATTCTGAACGGCTCGCTGCGCCACCTCAAGCTCGTGCTGTATCCGACGAGCACCGACAAGGTGGTCTTCAACCATGATGCCGTCGATGCCCAAGGGCGGCGGGCGGCGATGACGAGGCGAGACGATGCCTTCACCCAGTCGAAGCCTTTCAAGGCCTTGCTGCGGTTACTTGCCGACCCGGATCTGGAGACGGCGGAACTCTTTGTCGACCCTATCCATCGCGACTTCTGGTGCGATTTTCATGAGGGAGTGGCGTGCTGTAAGGGCCATCCCAAGGGGCCATGGCAACTGATTCCTGTAGACTGGAAAAAGCTTGCTGCAAGCTACGGTCAGGATCATGAGCTGAGCATTGCCAGGGTAACCTCGTGATGTCAGTTACACAATCAAGGCCGTCTTGTTATGACATAGTATCTACCTGATTCGGTGCTTAGCTGCAGAGACGTGTATGTGTCTTTGGGGGTGGTCAAACGCCACAAGAGACCACGAATTTCCAGGATGACGACACGGAGAGCAGATTCACGATCGATATACGGGTTAGAAGGTTCAACTACTTTTACATGGGTAGATATGTTAGTCTTGTGGTTAAGTTCTCATTCCAGACTACTACAAGACTTTCACGAATGCTCCATGCCCAGCTTCGGCCACCTTCAAAACATAGTTGAAGCTCGGTAGCGGGTTTTTACTTACTGAAGAAGGTCATTGGTGTCACCTCTGTGGCTCCTGACTTCTCAGTCTAACCCTGTGTTATTCATGGGGAAGAACATATATGGAGTGCCGCAAAAGTCTTACGGAATTCCAATGGCAGTTTGTGAAACTTAACTTTCCAAAAGATTGATAAAAAAAAACCCTCCTATTCGCAACATTTTTACATCGACTCAACTTCACTCTGTTCCCGCGGCTTTCGATTCCTACAGCTCAACTCGAACATCTACAAACTGGGAACGTCGGCTACATCCGCATTTTGCTCAAGTTCAACTCGTCGCCATGGACTCAACAAGCAATTCCCGACTTCCGGTCGAATTGTGGCATGTCGTCTTCAAAACGTTGGTTCAGCAGTGCGCTCGCCAAACTCAGCAGCCCGATCGCTATTTCCTTAAATATGCGTGTGTCAACCGAGATTGGCAGGCCTTTTTCGAGAAGGAGCATTTCCAAAGGCTCACGGTGAGCCCGAAACGCATGCATCAGCAACTCGGAAACATGGTCCCGCGGCAAAGACGGCTTGTCCGTCACGTCTGGTTTCAAATCGAGATGGCGACTTACCCTTGCGATTGCTGTCATAAGCCTCGTGGCGACAACTTCAATCACCGGGAAAGATACTGGGAAAGATGTTACAAAGATATTAAAATTGCTCAACAAGCTTTGCATGGGATTTTCTCGATCCTGAAAAACTGGTCGCGTGGCACTGATAATGAGAGACTGACTCTTGAGATTGGCCTTCACTCCCCGAGTGATTTTCATTACCGCTTTCAGCACTATGAGATTGATTCATCATTTACTCAAGCTCTGGAACACTCGTCAATCGGATGCCAAGTCCCATCGCAAAATCCGATGTCTGGATGTGTCAGTTGTTGTCGAACAGCGATTCCTTCACTGTGGTCGAACATGATGTTGTACGGCCACGTCTTCATGGAGGAAAGCTTTCCCACAGTAGACGTGGTGCACCGTCTTCTCGTTCGCAAACAGACTCGCCGAATTCTGTCCGTAAAATTGTGGGAGAATATGGTTAAGGCACTCCCAAATCTTGAATGTTTACACCAGGAGCTCTGGAGGGTGCGGATAAACATTGATCATCTACAATCAAGGTCAGGTAAGCCTACTACACCACTTTCCTTCGCCCCATTCTCTCTTCCTTTCTATTTTGCCATTTCTTGCGGTGTTCCCGAGCTAAAAAGTGAGGCAGTGGTTTCTAGGGTGCTCTCCGCACAATGTAATTCTAGTGAGCTAAAGAAGCTGGTGGCATTCGGAGAAATCAAGCCGTCACTCGCACCTGGACCTTACGAAGCGCTTTCCGAAGACCTGATTTTCAAAGAGCTGAAATCCGAAAAGCTGATTCATCGTCTCGCTACGAGCACCTGTAAATTGGAGCAGCT